TGTTGTGTTTTGTGTACTACTGTTTGTCTTTTCGTCGTTTTTCGTTTTATTTTGCAATGACATTGTCAGTTTATTTTCGACTTATCAATTTGAATATCCCTTTGGTATCTTTCGCCTCTCTTTTAACCAATTACATTTATTGTACTTGTACACACGTATATCATATATGACCTGATGTTAGTATACAAATGTTTACACCGTTTTAAGAATATTAACATTCCTCTTATTATAACAAGAAAACTGACTAATATTAAACGGGAAATCGACAAATTGCATACCGACTGTTTATACTCGAGTGAAGCTTTTTGAATCCCTTGAAAATATTGACGAGCGATGGAAGATTTTATGTAAATATAAATGAAGAAATTATTCATTAATCAAATATTTTGTAATTACAAAGAATATTAAAAAATACTGATTAAAATCCTCAGACAATAAGATTGTCATAAATAAGAAGGTCTACTCTCCGCATTGTATTGTCTTTCACAGTTGCTTGTATTTCCTCCAGCATGATTGTGTCGTCTTTTGAATAGTTTTCCTCGAGAACGATTACTTCGTCCTGTGATTTGTTTTCGTCGTCTGCCGCAGCTGCAGTGCATTTGACGTCATTGTCATCTACTGTTTCTATTGTTTTAAATGTATCAATTATTATATCAGAAACTTCCCAATGTTCTTTGTATTCTTTAACTTTTCGTCGGAATTTACTTTTGAAACTAAGATTATTGGGATCTACAGTGACGGGTTCTGGTTGCTTGAACAAAACCCATCTCAGGATATAAGGTAAAAATCCACCGGCTAAGGTAGCAAACATTTGATTGGTTGCTGATATTCCATATTCATCTCCAAATGCTAAAACAACGATGACAACGAAGAATAAGAAAACGCAGATAAGCATAAATCGTTGTGTTGCCCGAAGAAGGCTAGCAACTAGTGGTCCTGGAATTCCTGCCTGTTCCATATAACACGTATCGAAGAAAAACTTTGATGTTATGTAAGGTGTGTCGTTTTTATCTAAAAATAATATCAAGCCATTAATCAGCCATTTAAGTTTGTCATTTCCATTCGTCAAAGATACTGGTTTATCGTCTTGACCTTCCGTATCATCCAGACTGACTTGGAAGGCCGTGTTTCTTTGATCTTCGTGACTTTGCATACTTATTTTCTCGACCTCATCTCTCATTTTTTCTACTAAATATCCATTCAAAAACTTGTTGAATGTTAGATATACTTCTGTAACGGTATTAAAACTGTCACGCGCATAAAATGCAAGAAGGAATGCCAACGATAGATATTTCAAGGTGAACGACGAATTTATTACTATCCCGATAAGCGTGTACATAAAAACTTCGGCTAAAAACACAATGCATTCCATAGCTAACAGAACAGCGGATAAGATAGTTAACAAACATGAAAAAATAACTATTAACTGCAATATTTTATTTTTCACTGATAATTTTTCCGGTCGTTCTATAGATTCCTGACTGCTTAAGATATCTATTTGGAAAACTCTACGAATATAACGCCATAGTTGTTTTAATCTTTCCGCAATCCTTTCCGTGAGGCAGTTACGTCCATACGGCAAAAGATATGCTACAAAGTAAATAATTAACCTCACAAACACGTTAATTGTGGGGAAACAATAAAACGAAAGTGTTACTATGAATACCGGAATTGCAGGGATATAATACAACCAGGCAAACAAAAATCCAAATACGCCACAATGTTTGAATGGATGAAGCAAAATCTGTATAGACCATCCGAACGCACTATTTTTTGAAATTTCTCGCATATCACGGAAACATTTGCGCAGGACTTTTCTCAGAGTTCGTTTGACCTGCTTGCTGATTATTCCGAAAAGAATAACATCAACAACAAAAATACAGTAACAGGTGATGAAAACTACATGAACTGGAGTGAGGTACCACGTAAGATTCCCAGTATAGCTCAGCTGTAAATTACGTTGCGATGCTGCATTTTGTCTCTGCAAACGTTCTGACTGTTCAAATTTGAAATAGAAATACAGACGTACGACCCAAATCATCCCTACTAGTACATACAATAAAAAGTGCATGATTAGCCTCAGAATTTTATACCAGGGATACACATGATCAAACGGTCTACACGATCCAAATACGTTACTTTCACAACAGCCCTTCATAGAAGGTTTTTTCCGTACTCCACAATTAACTAAAGCTTTATATAGAGATTCGAATAATCCTACGGGTACATGGTTTGAAGGCATAAGGCGAGTCATTTCAGTCACAATGTTAATTCTACTAATAGTAACGATATATGTAATACCTGTTCCCATACTTTCAACGGATTTCTTAAACTCGGTCATTTCTTCAAAATATGAGACTGGAATGGAATACTGTTCTATTGATTTTGCAGATATTTTCCTAACTGTTAAAGTCATCGGTTTTCTTAGCCTGTGTTCATATGATGTTGTCTCGAATTTCTTTTTGTAAAATTTTGATGGAATTAAAAGTGGACTGAACATAACGGCAAAGAAGTTTACAATGAATATACAGACAAATAAAATAGTAAGATATTTATCTGATTTCAATTGTTGACATTCAGTCTGGCCACTTAAGGTTTTATGGCAACAAAAGTATTGAAATATCGCCTTACCTTTGGTAGGGACTATATGTAAATTACAAATACGCTTCGTTTCTTCCAAAGTTTCCACAGAAACAGTAGTATTGCGACTTGATGCCTTAAATTTATGCAGTAAGAACTCCCCGAGTGCATCAGATACGACGGTAGCATTATAGTTTGTCAGACAGTTCATCGGTGTTTGTTTCACAGAAACTTCAATCCTTTCTGTGCCAAGGCTTAAAGAACGCAATGAGAATATCTCATACTGTGGACGAAGAAGAAGAAGACTTTGACCATGTCTTCCCGTGGTCAATACCCAGGATACAGGATTGAAAACAGAGCCTTGGTCCTGTTTAATTAACCTTTCGCTGAAATTATACAAGTCGAAATCAATATAAATTACTTTAGCTCCATCTAAAGCCATTTTGTCTACTTTAGGTGCAATATTCCTATCAACTGTTTCCAGAACACAATTTTGTAGCACACCAGTCATTAGATTTTCCAGCTTTTCTGTTCTGCCTGGATTGACAGTTTGTGACTGTTCAATCAGTATACAAAATATGAATGAAATTCCATGAAAGTACAAAGACGCCGCTTGCTTGCTCATTTTGGGCACACAACGAAAGTATCTTCTTTATGGTATTTTCAAGTTCTACGCAATAAAAAAAAAAAAAATGTAGTTGTTATACTTGATAACGGATAACATGGCGTTATAAATTTCCGTTTGCACTCGTATATTGATGAATGCTATTTAACATTAATTTATGATAACATAACTATAAAACTATACGAGCACATAAACCTTATGGCTTATATGTTTGTTTGTGTGCTAACAATTATATATTTTTAAATGACGCAAAAATAATTGCATAAGGAAGTAACGAATGAACATGATACAAGATGCAAGTGCGATTACAATGAGTTATTTTATCAGAAAAAAGAGTACAGAAACCTTCCTATACGAATGTGTATCTCATTTTCAACACGCATAAAAGTGTGTAAACAATAAGTTAAAGAAGTCTTTTCAGAATTATATGATCAGTTGTCATTGATATCTTCCTTTTAACACTGTAGTAATTATATCCCTCGCCCTAGGCGAGACGCGGAAGAAGGTTTAAGTGTTCCGGGGTCGTTGAAATAATCGTTAACATTTGAATAATACTGTTGTTATAGCTATTTTAAACGATTGTCAACAATAGATTTAAACATGGATTTTACTTTAAATTTGAAAATGTAATTCATTTGCTGAAATTTCATGTTTATGTTAAGAATACATATACATACACGCATATTATTTAAATATAGTAGTTTTGTTTTCTACTACAGTCAAAACTTTTAATTCTTTAAAGCTAAATATTTAGGGGGCTTAAAAAATATATAAGCTTTCTTTCTTAAAGGATTCCTTTTTTTCACATAATATTCGTTCCTTTTGTTTTCCTTATCACATTTTTCCCTATGTCGGCAAGATATTAATTAATCTGTTAATTGGTAAGGTAGGAATCAACTCTATCATGGCATTTTTATGATGGCGTATCTGATTGTTTTTATATCATATAATTGAGAATGGAAACGGGGAATGTGTCAAAGAGACAACAACCCGACCAAAGAGCAGAAAACAGACCAAGGCCACCAATGGGTCATCAACACAGGCTCAGAGAATTTGAGATAGGTATTTTATTATCATGAATGCAGTTATTTGTTTTTGTGTACTTGTGTTTTGTTGTCTATTTTATCGATATTAGAGAGTAAAGTGTTTTTATCTTTTGATTATCTTTTTATTGTAAGTTTGTTCAGTGCAGCTTTTGATATTTCACTGATCGAGATTATAAGCGGTATCGAGGGATGAGTGCTCAAAAACTACGTTAACCCTGCCACATGGCCTTGTAAATGTCCCATGCCCAGACCTCGTTACGACTGTCGTAAATGTTTGCCTTTTAGGGAAGTTGATGTTAATGGCAGTTTTTTTACTTTATCTATTATTTTCTTGATTTGGGTGATTTAGAGCTTGGCATATATTATTTATAGCCACCTGTCTATTGTTGGAGAAGGTATGTCGACCTCATGTTGGCTTTGGTTTACAGCTTTTGAAGATTATTCATCTAGTAATTTTATGTTTGTGTTTTTTTTTTTGTATTTCGCCTAGTATACATACATAAAATTAGATCCTAAAATTGACTGTCACGCATGTGGGTGGTTATGTGTACCGAAATGTCTGGTTCAATTCGTCGCGTTCGTATCTAAGGTGTTTGGACTAACTCAGAACTGTAATATTGATTCGCCAATTCAATTCATGTAATTTCTCAAAAGAATCTTTTTTTTTCCTTCGTTGAATTACTTTGGGTTTAAGTGTATTTACCTGTCCTGTATTTCCAAGACTACAGAAGACAAACAAAACGATGGTGTTCCATACGAGAAATTTATATAAGATCGTAAAATTAAAAAAAATTAACGTTATTATTTTTTGGATACAGCACATAACATGCTACATTTGTGCACATTACTAGTATTTAAAATGTTTATACATGTACTACAAGTTCGTCATAAATCAGAATATCTACTTTGTCAGTACAATCACTCTTTATGACTGGCTTAATTTCCTCCAGCATGATATCTTTGTCTTTTGACTTAATTTCATCCTCCGTTGAATCTTCAACAGTTTTAACACCATTGTCATCCACAACTTTCGTTGGAACTAACTTCGTTGGGTTACTATCAATTCTTATATCAGAAACTTCCCAGTTCTGTTGATATTCTTCAATTTTTCGTTGAAATTTACTTTTAAAACTAAGATTATTGGGATCTACAGTGACGGGTTCTGGTTGCTTGAACAAAACCCATCTCAGGATATAAGGTAAGAATCCACCGGCTAAGGTAGCAAACATTTGATTGGTTGCTGATATTCCATATTCATCTCCAAATGCTAAAATAACGATGACAACGAAGAAAAGGAAAACACATATGATAATAAAGCGTTGCATTGCGCGAAGAAGGCTAGCTACCAAAGGCCCCGGAACTCCTGCTTGATCCAAATAGCATGTATCAAAGAAAAACTTGGATGTTATGTAAGGTGTGTCGTTTTTATCCAGAAATAAAACCAACCGATTAATTTGCCATTTAAGTTTGTCATTTGTAACTGTCAGGTGTACTGGCTGATCGTCTCTACCTTCTGCATCATTCAGACTGGCTTGGAAGGCCGTATTCCTTTGATCTTCGTGACCTCGCATACTTATATTCTCTACCTTTTCTCTCATTTTATCCACAAGATATCCGTTTAAGAATTTGTTAAATGCTAAATACTCTACTGTGACGGTAGTAAAACAGTCACGCGCATAAAATCCAAGAAGGAATACTAAAGATAGATACTTCAAGGTGTGTGCAGAGTTTATTATTACTCCAATAAGTGTGTACATTACAATTTCAACTAAGAACACGATGCATTCCATAGCCAGAAGTACAAAAGATGAAATTGTCAACAAACATGCAAAAATTACAATCAACTGTAAAATTTTGTTTTTAACGGATAGTTTCTCAGGACGTTCGATTGATTCCTGACTAGTTAAAATATCCATTCGAAAAACTTTGTGTATATAACGCCAAAGTTGTTTTAATTTAAGACAACATCTTTCCGTAAGGCAATTACGTCCATAAGGCAGAAAATATGCCACAAAGTAAATGATCAGTCTCACAAGGACGTTTATTGTTGGAAAACAATAAAATGCAACCGTTACCATAACTATCGGGATAGCTGGAATATAGTAAATCCAGGCAAATAAGATTCCAAAAATACCACAATGCTTAAATGGCTGAAGTAAAATTTGTACTGACCATCCAATAGCACTTCTTTTAGATATTTCACGCATATCTCGGAGGCATTTGCGCATGACTCTCTGCAGGGTCCGTTTGACCTGTCCACTAATTATTCCAAAAAGAAGTACATCCACAACAAAAATACAGTAGCAGACAATGAAAGTCATATGAACTGGAGTGAGGTACCACGTAAGATTACCAGTATAAGTCAGATCTAAATTGCGCTGAGATGCTGCATCTTCTCTCTGCAAACGTTCGGATTCTTCGTATTCAAAAAAGAAATGTAAACGAAGAATCCAAACCTTTCCAATCAGTATATACATTAGAAGCTGCATCAGTGTTCTTAGTATCTTATACCAAGGAAAAACACGATTGCATGGTCTGCATGGTCCAAACACATTACTTTCACAACAATCCTTCATCGAAGGCTTCTTTCGAATTTCACAATTAACCAAAGCTGCATGTAAAGATTCGAATAACCCTACGGGTACACGATTTGAAGGAAGAAGTCGGGCCATTTCAGTAACAATGTCAATTTTTCTGACAGTTACCATGTATGTAACATCAGTATTTATACTTTCAATAGTCTTCTTGAACTCGGTCATTTGTTCGAAATAAGAACTAGGAAAATTGTACTGTTCTTTCGACTTTGTAGACGACTTCCGCACTGTCAATGTTACTGGCTCATTAAGTTTGTGTTCATATGACGTTGTTTCAAATTTCTTTTTGTAGAATTTAGAAGGTATTACCAATGGACTGAACATGACGGCAAAAAAGTTCATCAGAAATATGCACACAAATAAAATAGTAAGATATTTGTCTGATTTTAATTGTTGACATTCAGTCTGGCCACTTAAGGTTTTATGGCAGCAAACATAATAAAATATCGCCTTACCATTGTGTGGTGCAATATTTAGATTACAAACATGTTCCGTTTCCTTTAAAGTCTCCATTGTTGCCGAAGCGTTAGTACTCGGTGTCTTAAATTTGTGTAATAAGAATTCTCCAAGTGCATCAGATACGACAGTGGCATTATACTTTGTCAGACAGTTCATCGGTGTTTGTTTCACAAAAACTTCAATTCTTTCCGTTCCAAGACTAAGGGACGTCAAAGAAAATACCTCGTATTGCGGGCGAAGTAAAAGAAGACTTCTTCCGTGTCTGCCCACGGTCCAAACCCAGGATAATGGTCTGTAAAAAGAGCTTCGTTGTTCTTCATATAAAGGTCCAGTGAAGTTCTGAAATTTGAAGTAAATATATATAACTTTTGCACCGTCCAAAGCCATTTTATCCACTTTGTTAGCAATGCCTGATTCGACAGGTTCGAGAAAACAGCTTTCCTGTATACCGGTAAATGAATAATCCTCATACAAATCCATTGTTGTATTTTGTTTCAATAATTTTGAAGATGTTTGTGCAATAAACACACAAAATATCAACAAAATTCCACAATGATAGGACGCATCCACTTGTTTATTCATGTTGGTCATTCACTTTATCAAAACCAAATAACAAAATATCCTGTTAATTTGTTTGTTTTATACCGAGTGACCTATAAACGTTGAACTTTGCTGTGTTTTAAATATTACGTGAACGATTAACGGAGAATTTAAAACCATTTGCTTTGTATAAACAATTACTCAACCGTAAAAAAGCCCGTGAAAATTGGAAACTTTAGTTTGAATTATAAAGTTGTAAAAATAAACCCATATGACACCATAAAAATCACGAAGAAATATGTAAGCCACAACATCTAACCATATTTGTATACAAACAAGTCTAGAGCTCTGAAACAAGTCTATAATTTGAACAAAAGTTTATTCCTTTCCCATAAGTTAATGTATTTAATTATAAATCGCAAAATGTCATACAATTTGAAGAAAATTAACAAATATTTCCGCCTTTATCAACTAGAATAATAAAATCAATGAACGATACGAGATAAATATTTTCACCGTTGCAGTCGTTATTTTCTAGCGATATCAAAGTGAGACGTGGAAATTAAAGTGGTTTAATTTTTTTTATATATTTTGAAATACTTGGAATTACACCCCCTTTCAAAAATCTTGGATCCGCCCTTGGTTAGAGTAAGCTATTTTCTGTTTTCTGGAAATGCATAATGTTAACGAAAAAAACCAGCCAGCGAGGAAATCGCGTGGACTTAAAAGAACATATAATAGATATATATATATCTTGATTTCATATTATAATAAATGTCCAACCAAATAAATATAATTTGACAAATTTTCTAATCGTGTAACCTAAATTCGAGTCCAAACGTTTTTTTTTTCTTCTTCAAATTAGTATTTGGATACAATCTCAAGGTCTTGACTATTCACCTATATATGTACAGATCAGACGAGAGGAGTGAATGAAACCTGTTAATCTCAGTTTCTCGTTAAAATGTTAATTGTGTCTTTTGAAAATATTCTTTGCCATACTAATTTTCAAAATTATGAGAAAACGTAAAAAAATATGAATCAGTAGTTAGTAAGGTAAAATGTTGTTAATTGGCCTTAAGAAACACGTTAATTTATTGTCCACTTGTGCTTTTTCTCTCTTTCAGTTGACGTGTGTTTTGCATTCAAAGTGAATATAATTGATATTTGTTTATCTGAATGCTTCTAAACATGAAGAAAATAGTAAACATCTAAAATTTGCTACCATGTTTGAAACGTGACTTCTTTACGAATAGTACTATTTAGTTTTTGCAATGGCGTCCTTCGAACTGTATGTTTTTTTAATTTTTTTTGTCATTTGGTAGACTGTCAAGCGGGGCTCCGACATTCGAAAAAATAACAAGTTGCTGGATGGGAGGTTTGACGAGCTCAAATGTTACTATATACAGTTTCTGTTTCAAAATTTGCTAAAGAAAACATGCAACATGTAAATATGAACCAATCAAATAATAAAAACGATATATGCATCCAAACGTTTTCCTTAAATGAAGGAGCTCCGAGGAATTGATAAAAATTGATACACAACAGCGACAAAATATATCAAAAACCATTGAAAAAACCAATCGTTGCTACCCAAATTTTTACATGTTCCTTATCTGATATATAGTCTTATCTCTCTGAAAGTTTAAATGCCATTGTCACAGTAAAAATTGAAATAAATTCATTATCTCAAAGTCGGATATTTTATTGACTGTACAATCGCTTGCGCAGCCACTGTACAATCACTTGGACCCTTCTTTGTACAATCGCTTGGACAAATGTATAAAATACATTACATATGTATAAAATACATTACATACATTACACAAGGATATCTTTTACGAAATGTGTGCTTTCATAAAACAAAATGATAAATACTCATAATTTATACCATTGTATGTGTTTTCTGTGTAATTATGTGTATTTTTCTCAGAGCTAGAGGCTGCATCCAAATCCAAATAATTTTTGCACAAATATTTTACATAACATGTTACTATGTCCTTTAATCACCTGCCCTTGGTGACTCCTGCATTTGGATAACTACATATTAATCTTGTCCGTGTGCATTAGCCACGAGGAGGACTATATAATAATCCTTTTTGAGTATTAGTTTATGCTGTGTTGTAAAGTGTTTAGATATTCATATTTGTGTGTATTTGCTTGAGTGTCCTTTAGACATGTGCCCTTGGTGACTCCTGCAATACGGACAACAATACTATTTGTTCATATGCATCAGCCACGAGGAAGAATTTAACTCATAAAAACTATTTTTATAATGGATGTGATGCTGCTTCTGGTGCATGGTCAATAAACACTAAACATTATGGTTTATATGCCATATATATTATTAACTCAATCAATATTTCATGTTTGAGTTGTTTTTCTTGTGTATTGTCTATATTGCAATTGTTTAATATAAAAAAAATCACTGTACTGATTATGCCCATAATGGGTCCTCTATTGGAAATAACACATTATATTTATTTATTTATTTATTTGAATTTCTTTGTTTGTTCTTTGTCTGTCCTAATATATTGATATATGATATTTGAAATAAAATTGAACATAAATTCAGTCATTTTGCCGATTAAGATTCTATCAAGGGCACCTTTTTAACGCACGCGTAGATTATCTATGAGAGACACAATCAATCAAAGTACTGAAGTACTGAACATCGGATGACCGCAAGTTCTTGTGGATGGTCACAAGCACTTGTCTCAGAAAAAATAATCACATCTCTATACCTGAAAGTGAGGTTAAGGTACATAGATATATTTTTTTCTAAGACAAGTTCGTGCGTGGATGATGAATACATGACGGAATTCAACCTCACCGTAATAACTATTATATTGTAGTGATACAAATCAGTATACTCTGGTTTGTTGTTATATATTATATTAATATTTGTACATAACAGTAACATGTATATATAATTTTCATCCATTTCTATATCATTCTATTCTACTATTCTAATAATAGTGCAGTGCAAGTGCATGGTGGACATTCTTCTGTAATAATTCGATTTTTTCTAATAAATTGGATTTGAGTAGGCATTCATATTTTCCCGCAAAACGTACTTGAGATATTCTTCCGCATGCGTTAACACAAATTTTCGGTATTCTTGATTTGTTATTCAATATTGATATATATATTTCTCACGACAAAACATTTTCATATCATTTATCTATGTTCTTAAAAATTATTTTCATGAATATTTATTGATGAAATTGATATACATAACAAGCGATAAGGAATGTTATTTTGCTTTCGGTTATCAGTCAAAAACGAAAGTCACGTGGGTAGAAATGTCTGTGGCAACAATACACCGGAATGCCCTCACGGTCATCCGATGTAAAAATCGATCAATAAGTAAACAACAAAAAAAGGACAATAATAATGTAAATAAATCACTTATGAACAAAATAAAGCTCGTACAAAACAAACTCCCACTCACAACCGGAAAAGTAACTAGGTGCTCCAAAAGGATAAGCATATTATGAAGTTTATAAAAATAAGAAGATGTGGTATAATTGCCAATGAGACAACTCTCCACAAGAGACCAAATGACACAGAAATTAACAATTATAGGTCACCGTACGGCCTACAACAATGAGCAAAACCCATACCGCATAGTCAACTATAAAAGGCCCGGAAATGACAAATGTAAAACAATTCAAACGAGAAAACTAACAGCATAATTTATGTACAAAATAATGAACGAAAAACAAATATGATACACAGAAACAAACGACAACCACTGACTTATAGGTTCCTGACTTGGGACAGGCACACTCAGAATGTGGCGGGGTTAAACATGTCAGCAGGCGCCCAATCCTCCCCGTAACCTGGGACAGCTGTGTAACAGTACAACCTAAGAACAAACTATAAAAATCAGTTGAAAAAGGCTTAACTTTTCAGATGGATACAAACAGAAATACATATAACAAAAACACAGAGTGGACGTGGCAAGGTACTTATACATCCCCACAACAAAAAAGACACTAAGTACAGATCTGAGAGTACTCGCATTTACTGACAGCTAGTTCAAAGCCAATGACAACTAATAAAAAAATCATGCATCTAAGACTTTATTTATGATTTACCAACATTTTAAAAGACTAGAATAAATATATAAAAAAAAAAATACAACAAATAAAGTTTCATAAGAAGACTGGGATATTCTAACTTTTTAACGAATGTGGAATGGTATATTCACGGAGCTCCAAACCTTTAAACTATTCACGGAGCTCCAAATCTTTCAACTATTCACGGAGCTTCGATCCTTTCAACTATTCACGGAGCTCCAAACCTTTCAACTATTCACGGAGCTTCAATCCTTTCAACTATTCACGGAGCTCCAAACCTTTCAACTATTCAAGGAACCTAGAAAAGACACGTATATGTCAACAAACATCTAGCTAGGTCAGGTATCAAAATATCAACAAAACGAATGCAGAGTCAAATATTGGAAGCTAAATAAGACTAATAAATATGTTTCTTTAAAGCTTTAGCTACTGGCGGTACAAAACTCTCATTAAAATAAATTTTTTTACGGAACGAAGTGTGAGATGTTATCTGAAAGACGGAGAACACTTGTCATAATAAAACTCTTGAACACTTATGTGGTATCATCCTCCAGCAACATTCAATATTCATAACTATAAATTAGACGAACGAACGACACTCAGTATATTAATTGTAGAACATTATTTAATCAAAACTCGTTTCTATCTTCAGTTCATAGTTCATAATAGTTCATCATAGTTCATCATGGAACACCATCCCGGATGATACCAGACTACATCCATCAAAATAAAATCTTAAAAGCATCAGTTACACTTTCAAATAGTAATTGAAGCTCTATTTAAAATTTGATAACAATAACAAATTATTATTATTGAAAGCACGCAGTGGCGGATCCAGAGGGGGGCGTAGAGGGCGTACGCCCCCCCCCCCCCCCCCTTTGCTTGAACTTTTTTTTTTTTTTTTTGTAAAATGATGAATCAGACTAGACTTCGTGAACTTTGCCATTTCCCGGTCGTGTATTTAATTTTTATGCGACAATTCTTTACTATTTTTCGCTCGTATTTACTGTTATATATTATTGATTATGTCAGTCATGTGTTTCGCTACGGTGAAGTTGATCAGTAC